GATAGTTTCTGTGGTTTTGGAGACCTGATGCAATGTGTGATTTGCAGCTGAGGAGTCTTTCAGGTCTATGTTCCTATGTATAGCACCAACGTTTCAGATTTTGCTAGAGGAAATAAATGAATCTGTTCATAGGCAGGTAGACATACTGCTGGACTCTGGCTCTGCTGAAATAGCCTTGCTTTATAAATAAGGCATTGATAGACCTGGCTAACTAATGTGAAAAACTCCTGCCTCTTTCTCTGTGACTGAAGGGAGAACAAAGTATGAAATACCTCCCTAGGGCCTGAGTAATGTCATAACCTCTTGGACCTTCCTCTTGTGTGGGCCGGAAGCGACCCAAGCCCTTTTCACGCTGCACGCGGGCTGTGGCCAGCAGCCCGGGCACGCCAGGGCGGAGAGGGAAGGCCTTCGAGCTGGAATTAGTCACGGATGCGTAGCGGTAGTTTTAAAAGATTGTTTACTTACACCGAGATGGCAGTGGTGTAGGCTGGAAAGCTTGATTAAGTTGCAGTTACAGACAAACAACACAGATGGTCTTGTGGAGGTTGCTAGGCTCCACAGTGCAGAGCTCCGGATGCTCTGGGTGAACGAGCCACCAAAATAGGAATCGTAAATACGTCTTATAAGAGTTGCGTTCGAAGACTTCGGCTGGGGCGGAACCCGCTAAAGCCTCTTATCGGGCTAACAAGCCAATCGTTAGCCGCCACGTGTGAATAATTTAGCACTCGCCAATCACGGGGAACAAATTTGCATACCGGTGGCGGGAACTCTTTTGCACCGTGCATTCCTCTTGCAACTTGAGCAATGCACCCTGCAAAAGAAGCTGCAGAAAAGGCGGGAAACTCGTCCCTGCACCGGGGTTTCCTCTTGCTACAGGAAACTCTCCTGTGCAATGCTCTGCAACTTGACGGGGATAATTCTGGTGCCGAAGCACACACACAATCATGCCTTTTCGGTCATGACACCTCTCAGATGGTAGTTCAGTAGCTAAGAAGGCCAAATGGCTTTGCTCCACTGGTAGAGAAAAGGAGCACAAGAAGGTTGACCTCTTCAGTCTCAAGACCTGTGCTGGTAGAAGGGTGAAATGCTTTTCACACTGAGTGACTGTAATTTTGGCTTAACTCTGGAAGAGCAAGGTTTAGGGAAGCTGAGTTGCTGAGTGAGACAGAATTTGGTGACTTTGCAGGGGAATTTGGGGTGTCCTCCAGGATACTTTATCTGAATAGATAGTATTCAGAGAACTTAGATCTTGCTTACTCTTGTTGTTGAGGTAATTGCCGATGATTGTCTTTTTCATAGAGAGGCAGAGTAAATAGTATGTTGTACTATATCCAAAGGTCACTTCATCAGAAGTGTGAAAACAACGCTGAGATCTTACTGTGGTATGGCATGACAAAACATGTAGGGCTTTGATTGCAGGATGCTGGGCATAGAGAACAATTAGTTGGACTTTCTTTCAGATGATGATACATTTTAAGATCTAGCAAAACTCACTGTACAGCTGAAGTAAAGAAACTGCTGTTAGAGAGGTTTTTTCCCTGAGACCTTCTTGAGAATCTGGACAATTAAACCAAGTAAATGTGTCGATTTACCTTTTGAAGCATTCACAGAATCAGTCATAGGAGGTAAGGCACAGGATGGTTCCTGATCATGGAAAAGGGAAGGCATTAAATAGGAATCACTGCCAAAGGTGTCCCTGGAGTAGGAAGCCTTGCACTTCCTCCTGATGTCCCATACAGATACAACAATTTCTAATTTACAGAATTTAACTGGAAAACCGAGTCCTTGACCTCAGGGCTGGGAACATGCACCTAAGGCTTCTAGAAGCTATCTACATTGCTGAATGTGTGGGTTTGTTCATACACTGATCAAGTGTGAGTGAGTGAGGCTCAGAAAGCATGAGCTTTCTGTCACAGTGGTTCTAGGCTCAGAAAGGATCTGCTTTTAGCATGCCCTATTTTTCCAAACATGATCATGATGGGGCTTATTTCTTTGATTGCCAGTCCTGTACTGGGTAGGGAGGCAGTACAGACAGCCCCTGTATGACGTGTGCTTACTTTAATGAGCATTTAATCAATGCTTTGCTTTATCTTCCTTGGCTGATATGTGGGCCCATGTCTTTATTGCTGCACCATTTTCACATGCTATTCTAAGGACAGAATTATTCATTTCCTCCCATTTCCCGCCCCCCAGGGTAGTCTGCCCATGGCATATACATGCTTTACTAACCATGAATTAACATATTTTCAAATCACCCCTGGCAGATGAAAGGGATATCATCATCGTCCTCATTTTGCAAATACAAAAGCGTGCACTAATTTTGGGAAGTTCAATATGCAACACTTGGCATGGTTTTTCAGAGTAGTGATCACCCAATAGTTCCAGAACAAGGGTTTCAGTGACTTCAGTTGCCTTTGTGAGTGTTCAGCATCTGTGCATCTGTGTAAATGACTCATCAAGCATCTCATAAGAACTCTGTGGCAGAAGCAGGTTAGAATCCAGTTCCTCAGGATAACTTTCAACTTCCCTGTCTTTTGAAGCCATCCTTTCTTTTCAGGTATCCCCGTTGTAGCCATATTGGTCTAGAGGCAAAATGAATCCATGAAAAGGAATCAAAAGAGGCAAAAGGAAACAAAACTTGGGGCAGAGGTGATTTCTCTCATTAGACCGACTAGATATTTGCGAAAAAAGATCTTTTTTGGCAAGGTTTCGGGCACAGGTACCCTTCATCAGGCATAGGAAATTGTAAAGACTGTAAAAGTTATCTTATGCATGATGAAGGGTATCTGTGCCCTAAACCTTGCCAATAAAGATTTTTTTTTCAAATATCTAGTTGGTCTAATAAAAGAGATCACCTCTGTCATGAGTCTTGATCCTTTCTTTTCAGTATTTTACTGTCGCCTGTACACCTTCTCACTTCTCCAACAAATGAGGCAGGGATTCAGCAAATCGCCTTCTTCACCACAGAACCCTGATTTATAGAGGGGGCAGAGTCACAGAGTCCAGCTTGGCCTGTGTGCTGAATGAGATGGGTTTCTGTGAAAAGATACTGCATGTGATCATGGAATTAAACTGTATCATAAAGACAGTAAATTACGGCTGTGTGGGCAGTAGTGTTTTCTGGTAGCGATGGTGATCTAAATGAATCTTTCTGTTACAAAAGTAACTTTCTTTATCTCTGTGGCAGTCTTACATCCCATTTTTGCATGGCTGTGGACTTAATGATATAATAGGTCTTATTTTTTCACCAGTAGCATTTTCCAGTGTTATCAAACAAAAGAGCATGAGCAAAATGTTTATAGAGAGCTTTATTATTGTACCAAGATAAACCTTGTCGAAGTCCAGATACAACTCTTTGGATCAAGGCACTTCTCCACCTATCTATTTTTAACAGATATATTTTAGAATGAGCGACTTTACATGAGGAAGAAATACACAAGCTTGTTAAAATTAGTCTTCAACATTTTAAATAGCCAACTTCATCTCTTCCTGGAATATGAACAATTTCTCTTTAGTTGTCAGTGTTAGTCAGGCAATTTTCATGCCACAAGTTGAAATCACAGGAATCTTGGAATTAAGAGAAACTTAGCTGTAATTTTTAAGGATACACTATCCTAGGACAGAATTTGGTAAGCCCATAGGCTATATCCAGCCAGCCTATGAAGAGGGCTGATCTGGCACAAGGATTTGAAGACATAGAGTTGCACTGTGCTGTCCTTCCCCTCCTTTGTACTCCCCTGCACTGCAGAGCCTGCTGCTCTGCCACATCTGTGCTTACCCACACTGGAGAGGGTGTGTCGTGGGATCAGCAACATGGGTGAGATCAGGACGTTAGTCTCTCTGGGGTCCTGAGACTTGCGGCCCATGGCTTCAAAAGGTTGCTGACCTTTGTCCTAAAAGTACAAATATTTTTCATTCCCATACCTACTGGTGCTGCATATACTTAAATAACACAACAGAGTTGTAGTTATTTGTATCTCTAGAATTTCATCATCTCCATATTCTGAATGATGCAGTCTTTCTCTTCTTTAAGGCTCTTCATGTTTCTCTCCTGTTTTAATTGTCCTTCCCAGCTCTTCTACCTTTTACAGTTGCCTTGTTCCTGTGTTCTCATTCTTGTAACTTTTCCATTGTTACCCTGTACTTCCCCTACTCTCCATTTTAATATCTCCTCTGAACCCCTTCCTGCGTTTCTTTTTCTTTTTTTGACCTTGGGTTTTATTTAGTTCCTCTAGCCCCTCAAGTCTCAAGGGCAATACCAACATCTATCTAAATCACTCTTAAACTAGTGCATTTCAACTACATGATCACTTGTCTCTTACTCCATGGTCACTTCCCATGATGTTAATGTACTCATATCAACAAGCGGTGGAGCTCACCTGGGAATGGGAGGGAAGGGGTTTTTGTGATCTCTTTTTTCTTACATGAAGAAGGACACTTTGTGCTCTAAAGCTTGTCCAGCATCTCTCCCAACCATACAGTTGATCAGTGTGTCATTGTAGGTGTTGCCAGGTGTTGCTCTTGGAGCTGCTGCTTGAGAGCACTGCAGTGTCCCCGTGCTGCTGTATGTTCTTGTGTGGTATTGCATGGTAAGAGGAGTTCAGGAAAATATGGGGAACCAATGACCCCAACTGGGATAAAAAGTCATGATTAAAATATCATACTGTCATATGCAGAGCTGTCTGAATGGTCTGAAAATGACATGTTCAGAATTTAATCCTGATGTAAAAATGTGGTTTACTGGAAACAAAATAGCATTAATTATGAGCAAATAAACATGTTCCTGTGGTATGTCCTGAAGCAGCCAACCCAGAGAAAGTCTAATGTAACAATGGCATGGAACTATAATATATTAAGTAATAAATATTCCATTCAGTCATCAAACCTTGTGGAAAGTTCAGCTTAAGTGAAAAAGCAACATGTCTTATATCTGCACACTTGCCACTGTGGGAATTCTCTAGAAATGAGCATTGTAAACATTTTTTCTTTCATTCTGACAGGTAATATTTGAAGCTGAAGTCTCAGATCAGAGAAGTGGCTACATTGCCATTGATGACATCCAGGTTCTGAGTTACCCTTGTGGTAAGTAGTGATTAAGAGCTGCATTTTTCTCTGTCTTTTCAGGAGATGCTTGATATTAGCTCAGGCTGCTGAGTTTTCATCGCTTGATCATTGATGTCCTTTGTTCTTTCTGTAGCATTTCTAATACAGCTTACAGGGGAAAACATTGTAGTACAATAGTGATTTATCTAGATAAAAAATTCTGTATATTGTAAGTAATGCATTGCAAAAAAAATACCCTTTATTCAGTTAATGCCTTTGCATTCACAGACTAGTAGGTGTGGACAGTAAGCAATTAATACCAATACACTGATTGTGCTAATCTTGACTGACATGTACTTAAATCAGAGGGCTGTTAGAAAAAAGTAATGTGGCTATGAAGCCTGAGAGGCAACTCTAGATTTAAAAAAATATTTTGATTTCCAGTATTTTGTACAGGAACTGGTTGCAGTTGTATATATGAAGGTTCATCCTCATCTGTTTAATCCTGGAAAAAATATGTATGTTTGCAAGTTGGGGAACTGTGGACCAATAGAGGGATTCAGGAGAAATCATTACTATATACTTTTCTCATTTGCTGCCTTTTTTTCTTGTAAATCTCTCCCACTCTGCTCTACCTGCACCTTTCTGCATCCAGTCCCTCCCAAAAATGTAGCTTCATTGCAGTGCATCCCTGAGGCTTGTAATTTAATTGCTTTCTCTGAAGAGATGATAGTACTGGAATCCACTGCCTACTAGGAGATGCTAAATGATAAAAAATATCTTTGGAAACTCAAATCTGTTCTTTCTTCCCTTCCCCCAGATCTCTGATCCTTGCTTCCCCAGTGCTGCCAGCTCCACTATCCTTGAGGAGTCACTTATCCATTACTTGCCTCTTCATACTTCCAGTCAACCCAGCTATGGACTCTCTCTGTAAAACAGATTCTAGATCCAGATAGAGCTTTGCTGTGTAAAATCACAGAGTCAGGGATTGCCTTAACAGCAAATTATCAGCATGACAAAATGCTGAAATAGCCCCTTTCTGCTTATCCCATTTGCATTTCATATTGGTTAAAAAAAAAAGCCACAAATAAAGTTTCAGTTTAGTCAGTATTTTAGAAGAAAACATTTAAGAGCTATATTACAGGTCTGTTTTTCAGCTGTGGACATCAGGTTTTTTTTAAACCTTATATTTCACTCTAGTTTTGTCATAGAGCTTTCCTTGAGGCCGTGCAGATGTTTGAAATGGAGTTATAGTTGAAATGTGACCATGTTCATCACAGAAGATGTTTGTCTACAGAGAAGGAAAAAACCCAAATGCCTTTGCACAGGTTCTTAATAGCTTGAATATAATTAATTAAACTAATTCTCCTTCCAGTATATACTGATTTTAATCACCAGTATTATACTGATAATTTCACTGTCAGGTGGAATGCAATGCAACTCTGGTAAAAAAATTTTGCAATTTTTTGACACACATTGTTATTTAATCTCCTCTTCTTAGCTTTGATTTTTGTAAATTATTATAACTCATATACAACAAAGTAGTGGAGTCACGGGAGAGGAGGAAGGAGTGGAGCTACTCTCTTTGCTTAAGCTTAGATGAAACAAATCACTTTCTTTCATATGAGATTAATTTAAGTCCAGGTGGCTATAATACGTGTCTGTTGAGAGAAAGTGATGTGATTGGGCTTTTTTTTTATTAGCAAGCAATGTTTGTAACTTTATTTTTTCTACCTCCACAGACAAATCTCCACATTTCTTGAGGCTGGGGGATGTAGAGGTCAATGCGGGGCAGAATGCTACATTTCAATGCATTGCTACGGGGAGAGATGCAGTGAATAACAAATTATGGCTGCAGGTAAGGCCAGCTCATCCAAGTCTGTATGACTAGAGGACAGACTTCTAGTTGAAAATGAAATTAACTCCTCAGCCCCTCTTTTTCCTTGTGCTCACAAAATGTTTTATAGAAATCAAATTTATAGTTAATTTGATTGACCAGAGAAATAACAAATTATTTTCTTTATTAAAAAATTCTATATTTAAAAATTAAGAGGATAAAAGTTGCACAAATAGTTACTCTTTAACCCAATACATTGTTTTAATCTACATGCTTCTTTCACAAAATTGTGTGAGTGGTAAATACATATGGTTTGAAAGAGATTTTTGTATCTAGTAAAACAAATGTGCTGTGTTTAGCACAGGCTTCACAGAGAGCTGTCATAACTATGATGGATGATCCTATGATAGAGAGAAATTACAATTAATCCCTTGAGGGTTGTGTGTGTTAAAATGACAGCATATTTAATACGGCAATATAAACGTAGTGTTCCTTTGCATATTAGGAAAGATTTTAACTTTTCTCTCTCTCTCACATGCACGCGTATGTGCACACGTGCACGTAAGGGTGTTCTTATGAATTATTGAAATGAGAAAACTATTTTCTACTTCTGTCTCCCTCTCCCTCTCCTTTTCCCTTTGAAAAAATACTATAAATCCTCATAGCTCAGAGAAAAACAATTTATGTGGATCACAGACTGGCACAGAAAGCCTCTTTGAGAATGGTATATCATTTTTGATGTAGGTGAAAGTTGCAGAATTGATAATGTCTGACTCCATTGCTTTGGTGTGTGTTACTCTGTGTAACAGGGTGCTTGATGTATACATGTTTCTCAGTGGTTCAGAAAAAATATTCCTTCAAGAACTTATTTTATGTTTTTAAAGAACATTTGAATAAAAAATAATAATAAAATAATAAAAGTAATATTTTAAAACGCAGAAAATGCCAAATTCATATGTAACAAATGCACACACGCAATATTATCAAAATGAAACACATTGACCATCCTTCATAATCAGGGTCTCACGTCTCAACTGAGTGAAAAAGGAGTGTATTAATTTCTGAATGAGTATAAATAGCCACACGGTGCACCTCCAAAATAGAGAGAGATGATTTTTTGGGAGGAGGCAGAAGGGAGGAGGGTTGAATAGGAAGGCATCTGACTTCTAGAAAAATAGGCTATGGAGACTATTCCAAGAACAGTTATCACAGTGTCACAATTTGAAAAATAAACGGAGAACCAACAGTGATTGCGTTGCCTTTCATATTAGCAAGTCTTTGTAGTAAACAGATATCCTATCGCTAGGAACTATTTGTATTGCAAGTCTTTCTGCTAAGTAGATACCATTATTTCAATTGAACAAATATAAAATGCACTCATTGAGAAGGAGAAGTTCAATTTCTTGGGACTGCCAGGCTGAGCACATAAAACACACGAAATTAAATTAGATTAACCTGGATTACTATATCACAGAGAAAGCTGTAACAGTAAAAGTGTGCAAGAAACAATGTAAAGCACCACTCTCAACACAGATAATTGCTCAACAGGGCTTGACAGCAAGAGCCAACTGGAATTTTTCCATACCACTCAGTCCTCCGAGTCTGATAACTTTGACAGATTATCCTTTCTAACTTTTTCTCTCTCAAGAAGTCCAGTTAGCAGCCAAAACTGCCCAGAAAACATATGTTTTTGCTTTCACACAGTTTATGGGTTTGCTGTGTAGACCACAAAAGTGCATCCTTTCTTATCTTGTAAAACACTACAAATAATCTTTGTTAGAGAAGATCTTGGAACTAAAAAAAGGTCTTTTGCCCTTCAAATAACTTTGCTTGCTAATGTTTATAAAGGACTTTGATATTTTTTAATGGAAAATACTATGAAATGGCTATTTTAAATGTCAAGTGCTTGGGCTCCTTTTTTTCATAGCTGCTTTCTACCTGGCTTTCTACCCTTTCCTTTCTTTTTTCTTAAACTGTCAGTTCTGTCACCCATTGCTCAGTACCCCAGGTTTATTGTCCCATTCAGATTTCTACCCTTCTTCACCAAAACAGATGTGCAAATGGTAAAACTTCACCTGTCAGAACCTGCATAAAAAAGAACTGATCCCACTGCAGATTTTTGAGAAAATATTATATTTTGAGAACATATAAAACTGGTGGCCTTTTCCTGAAAATGTTGGATGCAGGACATAGACCCAAGTGTGGCTAGGCAAACATTCATTTTTATTTCTTTTGCCAAACTGGCAAACTCAGGGATTCACAAAGACCTACTTTTAGGAAGGAAGTCACCAACAGATCAAATCAAATGCGCAAGTCATTGTTTTTAAGTATCTGGAGCAGAAGCATTTTAAAAATGTATCTTCTCCTATAATAGGAGCACCAGCTAAGGCAGGGATTCTATCCGGCCCACGGGACCCCGAAAAAGTTTAGAAAATTAATATTTATCTGCCCCCTGGCTGCCTGTCATGCGGCCCTTGATGGCTTCCCAAAACTCAGTAAGTGGCCCTCCACTCGAAATAATTGCCTGCCCCCGAGCTAAGGTGTGAAGGTACAGAACAGGGGTACTTTTTAGCACAAAATAGAAGCTTCTTGTTACGAAGTAGTTGCACATAAAAGGATCTTCCTTAAAAAAGAAAAGAAAAAGAAAAAAAGGTGCTAATAATTGGGAAACTTGGGGGAGTATACCTGAAATGCTTTGATTAAAAAAAAAAAATGTTATATAGACATTGTTTTATAGCTATGGGTCTATTTAAAGAAAGCATGGCCGTCTCTGTCTCTATAGCATTTCTCCATTTTTGTTTGTTTGTTTCGAAAGTTAGAGGGAAATTTAAGCTTAAAAGGAAGACCAAAAAAGTCTTTCTCCTTTTTCCCCTCCTTTTCTTTTTCAGCAAAATGATGCTTGGTTGCAGGATTTAACCAACAGCGCTATCTGGGACAATAGCAAAAATGAATGTGCTGCGTTTCCAAAGGCTTAACGTTTTGCTAACTTCAGAAGCCAAATGTATTGGAGGTGGAGCTAGATTATAAATAAGAAAAATTGTGCACATGTACATGTTTCTGTATGTAAATATAATTGTAATTGTTAGCATATATATATAAAACATGCAATGACAATAGGCACAGTATTTCAGGACACTAAATCTCTTATAATATGCACATATAGTGTTTTAAGCACTGAAAAAATGTCAAACTCTGGTTTCTACATTTTAGGAGGTTAAATACGGATTGACCTTAAATTGGACATTCACTGGATTTCGTATGTAGATACCTATATCAATATATAGATAGATGTATCTGTGTGTGTGTGTGTGTGTGTGTGTGTGTGTGTTATGTAAAATTACTTTTGTTATTCCTTTTCACATCCCTATTGTACCAAGGTCTGGGACAAATAGGACTGGCAGGAAAGGTGATCAGTAAAAAGAACAAAAGTCCTTTGAAAGATGTAGCTTCGTTAATATAAAGCAGACAGACATCTGACTAGATAAAGTGCCTTAACTGGTTGAAGGCAAGCGAGGTTCTTTGGGTAAATCCTGTATCTTTTATTAGACCAACTAAATAGTTGGAAAAATTCTTTTTTGCAAGATATCAGATTTACCCAAAGAACCTTGTCTGTCTGTGTCCTTAGACCAAGATGGCTACAGCCAATATTCTTGTTAAGTGGTTGAACAAAGAGATTTGAAACATGTTGGAAGAATATTGCCTATTGAGTGTGAGAGGTATTTCTCTCCTCAATGAGGAGGCATGCAGCATACAATTATTACTGGGCCACCAACCCACCTCCCCCTATTTTTCTTTAGTTGATGCATAATTATTAGCAAATATATTGGGGGGCAGGGGGAACAAAGGTAAGTAAGTTTTGTTTTCAGATGAGAATTCCAAGGCATAGTGCTTAGAAATAATTCCTCAAAACTGAATTGGTTCAGGATGGTTCTTCCTGAACAGTCACTTTTGACTATTGTTTATAACCTCAGTAAGCTTGTAGGCCGATTTCATGAGGTTGGCCATAGTAGAGGGGCATATGACACACAAAAGGCTTAGACAATTCCATATTTTGTCTAGCATTTGTTCTGTTAATCCAACCAGGACATCAGAAAAATAGCATGTGCGAGTTTGGGAAAGAGGGGTTCTTTTTCTTTTTTGGTCACTTTTTGTTTAGTTTAATTTTGTTTTAATAATCAGACTATGTTTCACTGCTTCCCAAATTGGGAACAGTTGTGACTCCCATAATCCCAGTGAAATTTTCAACCTGTAATCAATGTCCAGTCTAACTCGACACCTATGTAACGTGGAGAATAGAGGCCTGTGCTGGACCATCTGTTAAACCATATGCCTTGGCACCAGGTTCAGCTGGAGATAACTGAAACACTAATGAGTCCATCCATCATTGCTGAGCTTGGCATTAACATATCCATTGGATTGGGCAAAAAGGCTTGTATTAACTTTGCAGTTCGTTGTGTTTTTGCAATGGTCTTTGGTGACACCATTTGCTTTGGTGAATCTCAAATGAGAAAGGGTTTTGCATGTGTTTAAAAGTTTAAAGCATCACTGGTAATCCTGTGCAGATTGCCATCAAAATAGTGACAATTGGGCCAATCTGTCAGCGATAGCTGTAGGTGCTGGCTAAATGCCTCCTCAGTTGGCCTGCCAAGCCTGGAAAGGCAGCCATGGTTTCACCCTTGGAGAGGCTTATCAGCATTAATGCAGTATGATGCATCTCTTCTCTCAGCCAGAGGAAAATGTCATTCCTTGTGGAGCAACAGATAATTAAAGCAATTGCCTGAAAGTAATAATTGAAAAAGTGAAATTGAAAAGCGCTGTGGAAAATGGAATGCAAATTGCTGTAAAAACAACTGTGTGAGGCTGACCTCCCAGTGATACCAACTGTTGTCAAATGAGGGGCTATCTCTGAAGGTGGCGTGTTGGGAGGTGCACAAAATTGACCACACTGTCCTATCTTTCCTGGAAAATGTGTGCGCCATAACCCGTAATGCTCTGTTTACCATCTCATTATTAGGTATTGGTATGTTACCACCATAGAACCTCACCTGAGATGATCTTCCCCAGAGAGCTTGCATTTGACTACTTTCCCCCTCTGATGTCTTTCTCACCATGCTGTGGAAATACACACCCCTTTGAAAATTCCTGTGCAGGACACTATCCAGTAAGGTTATAATTTTAGTTGACAGACAAGTGATATAATAGCAATGTAACATTAGGCTTCAGGAAAACCAGATTTCAAAGCAAACGTTAGGACTTCTGCTTATCATAGACGCATAAGCTTAGAAGGGGCTGTTTCAAGGGGCCAAACCCCCAGCACAAATGCAGGAATGCTGTTCCTTAACCATCCCTATCAAATGCTTATTCAGCCTCCTCTTGAAAACCTCTGATAAAGGGGATTCCACAACTTCTCTAGCAGTCTAACAGTAAGGAGTTTTTTTTTTCCTGAGATCTAATCTTAATGTACCTTGCTGTAGTTTAAAACCATTGCTTGGTATCTTGCCCTCTACAGCAAAGGAAAACAGCTGTTCTCCTTCTTTATGGCAGCTTTTCAAACATTTGAAAATGGGAGAGAGGTTTAGGGATGTCAGTTTTTCAGACACAACATTTCATTTCCTGAAAGAATAGAGAGATTTTCATTCAAAGGAAAAAGGTTTTTACACACAAACGAGTTTTACAAATACAGTAATAGATATTTTTGTGGCTGAACTGAAAAGCATTTTGGGTTGATCTGAAATGTTTGCTTTTGGATAATTTAACCTTTTAAATTTTAAATACAGGTAAGTTTCAAAACAACAGAAACATTATTTTTCAAAATCATAGGACAAAAAGAACTGGGGAGAGGACTCAGAAGGTCTCTAGTACTCAGGAAAACCTGGTTGTCCTGCTCTCAGGACGTCTCCTGCTTAGGGCAAGAATCATCCCAGAATAACCCCCACACAACTTCCAGCAGTGGAGATTTCATAATCTCCTTTGGTAATCTGCTTCAGAGTTCAACCACCTTCAGAGGTAGAATGTTCTTTCATATATCTAACCAATATCCCCCTTGCTGTTGTTTATGACCTTTTTGAACCTTTCAACAATTTTGATTTTTTTCAGCTGAAACAGTTTACCCAATTCCAATTGGATTCACAAATAGTTTCATTTCCCCTTAAACTGCAACTTTTGGGGCATGTACAGACATGACGGTAGATCTACCTAATTAGGGTTAGGTCTATCTAAGTGTCAGTCTGTGCAGATGTTTGAGGAGGTTAAATTGGGTAGAAAATGGCCAGCCCAATCTAAATTAATTTAACTGATGAGGTAAATTAATTTAACTGATGAGGTGAATGAAGTTAGTAGATTGGGAAGAGGTTAGCCTGATCTACTGAATATCTGTATGTGTTCAGAGTGCATCCATGGGGCTAGTAAAACCCAGCCAGTTACCCCAGCTCTGGGGCTGCACTCTTCCTACCTCTCTCAGCTCTGACTGGACGATTTTTAGCTACCTGACCCCTGCTTCCCACCCCTGGACATACAGCTCTCCTCCCCTCTCAGACTCACTGACCCTCCTTCCATCGTGCCTGCCTGTCCCCCACCCCAAATTACTTAAATTGGGTTCCTGGCATGGCTCCCGGCATGTGCAAACTTGTGTACAAGGTGCTCCCAATCTACAATTGTTCAGCTTAAAGTAAGCAACATGATGGTAGATCGGGTGTGGCAAATGTCTTCATGTATCCGTGATGAGTTTAGTACATCTCTGCAAAAGGGAAAGTGTAGATGTAGGCAAGAATTGAAGATGAGGAGCAATAAAGAGCTACTTATTCTGTAGTTATTCCTCCCCTTCCTCCCCAACAAGGAGGAAGGGGAGGAATAGCTACAGAATAAATTGGGAAAAGGCTGAGGTCAAATTCCTTGGAAGAACTTGGGTGTGTGTACATGTGACCGTACAGTGCCTTTGTTACTGCACCATCGTTTAGTACTTCCTTTTGGAAGTACTAAATGATGGTGGCAGTAACAGCATGTGTTGTGCTGTGCTAGCCATGCATGGTTAGAGTTGGCTGCTATGTTGCCATAGCAACACACTATCATGAGGGAACACATTGCTCCAGCGACATAGCAGTGGCGTCATGGTTTTTGCCAACAGATGCTATGGTGCCGTAGTGTCTTGTGTAGATGTGCACCTTGTTTCCAAAAACTAAATGGCTCAAGTTAATTTAGGTCTATTTAGGCCAGTTAAACTATGGGCTTGTTCTTTGAAAACATTTGTTAAATGTGTTTGCACGTATTATATTCTAGGTAGTATAACTGCATTTAAATTTGAAGGCACATTACATTTTAACTTATCCTTTGTTTTAGATACCATTTTTTACGTTAAAGAGTTTGCTGCTAAAGTGCATCTAGACAACCTTATTTCTGTGCTTCCTGCAGAATTATTTTCAATAATTTTCACTGGTGATTCATGCCTGATGCACTATTTTAGCCATGCCCCGTAGGACCTTACCGTTGTTGTAGGTTAAGAGAAACTGAAAGTGCAAGAGGTTTTGTTATGATGCCTAATCATTCATAAGACTCTCAGTTTATAGGAGTCCCAACAATGAAACACCACAACATTGCAGGGGTAGTACTGAATCTAGATTTTCTGCAAATTTCATCGAGTTAAATACCTTTTTTTTTATTTGTGAAGATACCCATTTCTGTTAGAGCAGAACTGAAGAAAAATATCTTAAATGAGAATAAACTAAAAAATACGATAGATACTTTAGAATGGTATTGTCTCTGCAAGTGTCATAAGGTGGCTGTTACTAGCCTTGCGTGTTTGTTGAGACTACCATTCACTGGCTTTTGTTACAACCTGATAGTAGTAAACTTCTTCATAGCCATTTTCTTTTCTTTTCTTTGACTGTTCCTGTTAATATTTATATTCATGCTCTGCCTGCAGGATGCCACTCTGTCTCTCAAAATGATTTGTAATTTGCTTTTAATAGTAGGAGTAGTGATGATGATGATGATGATGCCCATCTCATATTTCTTTATCAATACTTGCAAATACTTCCTAAGTGGTTCAAAGAGGCACACGCTTTCAAAGAGACTATGCATAGCACAGCCTACTTTTATCATATGCTGTGAATCCGTGTTACAAATAGAATACGTATTGGGGTATGAGCTGACCAAAGTTACCTATGATGCAAGTGGCAGAATTGGAAGATGCAGAACTCTTGAGGGCCATCTTAGTGCTCCACTCCCAGGGTCACTCGCCTTTCTGTGTTTACAGTATTAATTACTATCAGCCTTGGTTTGGTGTGTTCTGGAAATTACTTGAAAAGAAATTAACTCCACTCTGTTACAAAGCAGAGTAACTTTATCTTCTCCCATCTCCAGAGTTTATGTTCCTCAAGACATTTATCTGTACAAATTGGCTTTATTAGGGAATTTAAGTGGTCCCTCCATAACTTTGCTTTACAAGCCTGTGTACACCAGTGCTTCTCAACATTTTCAAATGCAAGGTGCCCCATTAGACTCACAGCACCCTTTGGAAAATGCCACTTCATTTTCATTCATTTTTTGACTTCAGAAAATATATAGAGCAATTTTTCTGATGCAGAGAAGTCAAAAGACCACCTCAGATCAGAAATACTTTTTAATACCCTGGATTCCTGTTTGAAATCTCTGGCCGCATCCAGACAAGTATGACTGTGCAGTAGGTGGCACCACAGACATGTCTGCAGCGCCACATACTGAATATTCAGTTCTTCATGCTGCAAGGGAGCAGCATGGAGGATATCCAGGGGTCAAAAAAACCCATGGAGAAAGAGTGGAGTGGCACACACACAGGCAGCGTATGCTGCTCAAAAGTAGAGCTGGACTACCCAGAGCCGCGCTTTGGCTGCCAGCCAGGTTCCGCGCAGCAGAATTGCTGCTATCACTGCTGCTGCAGCCTCGGGAGGCCCCCAGGATATCCCAGGTAAGGCTGCTGGGGCCAGCCCAGTGCTGATCCCAGCTTCCTTACCCTCCCCCCCGAGTAACTTGCTGCACGCCAGAGTGTGCATAGCACAGGCGTTTGCTGGGGACAGCTAGCAACAGCACAAGGTGAGCCATTGCTAGTTGTCTCCAGGGAACCAAATGTCCATATCACATGTGGGCATGGCCTCTGAGTTTTATCTTGTGAGTCACAATTATACACCTAATGGAGCTAACAGTACATGGCACCCTGCAGCACCCTTCAAAAGACCTCAAGGCACCCCCGAGTACTGTGCCAGCCTAGCTGAGAATCACTGATGTACACCATCTCAAAGTAGTGATTTTTGCTTTTCTGCCAGTAAATTGAGCCTTCTGCCTTTGATTTATTTTATTTATCAATATACTGATAGTATGGGGAAAGAAGTGTTAGATGTTTCTACCTCCTGGAAGCTTTATTTTTTGTCTTTCTAGAAAGCTAATTAAAAAAGATCTTTATGATATGGTTTCCACAGTCATCAGTCTTTCCTGTCCTGAATGCATGTGATGCCCCATCTTGTTGTCACCTATATTGGCACACAGCAGACTAGTGAAACACGCTTCAAGATGTTTCAGTCCTTTCTGATCCAGTTCTATACATTAACTGGCATTTTACAATGCATTCCATCCTTAAGCATTACATCATTCTGGTATAATGTCTGTTACAGAGGGTACTAAGAAAATATGTCTTCTAGTTTTACTACTTCATTATGTAATTGCCCTCTGTACTCCTGGTTTCCCCTTCTATGCAGTAGTTTTCTCTTCCCTAGCTTCCTGCCATCTGGTCAGTGATGACTAGCTCTTCTCCCATTGCATTTAATATGCTCATTGAAGCTTTTCATTCTGTTTTCAGTTTTCTTAGTTTTCCTTATTTCTCAACATTCTTGCCCATACTAACCATTATTCTGAAACGTAAAATGATAGAATATGGAAATACACAAGAGGGTTGTCTCTGTTACAGTTGCTTTTATCTCCAAACATGTTTTTTAATTCTTCAGGAGGGCTGATGCTATGTTTTGCAAAACATTTTCCCTCCCCCCCAAACGTATTCAAGTGAATCCTGATGTGGTGTCCCAAAATATTTCCAGAATGTCTAATTGGATTTTTCTCTACTGATTCTGTGCCACACATTGCTACCTCTTACCCTACTGACATTTTATCAGCTATTGAAGATCAACTATTAGGTTG